CATAGGTCCAATAAGTGGTACTATTCAATAAAGTATACAATGATGAGAAAGATACAATATGGCTACATACTATTCTCAGTAGTTCATACAATTTTGTCATAGATGTACGTACATTATCCTGTGTAAAGTATAAACAGCTCGTGCTTCATTTTAAATGTTATAGTTAATATATAAATTACGATATAAATAATGTAAAAGTTACAAGAATGTTGTACTCACAATGGTCAATGATACTCTGTGCAGACGAGCCCCCGGAGCATAGCTTGCTGAGTTTGTCCAATTTTTCCTCCTGTAAACGCTGTCTCCCAACAACACCGGGTTCATTTATGACACCCTACACGGTTTCCGCCAGAAATAAAGGAATATATGTTCCCACAATAACCTGGCCCCAGCTTATACCTGGACTGGCGTGTCACAGGTGCCCCGTGATAAACGTGTTGGCTCGTCTCTCAGTTTGCCCACGGACGACTGAAAGCCCGTCCTGCTAGTGCGGCGTCCTGAGTCAGAGTGACGTGTCCTCCGACCACACCACGCAAACACAACAAAGGAAATTTTAATAAATTAAATATAACATACACCTGTTTCTGCATTCACAACATGCATCTGTATACCAATCTAATTTCAAAACTGATTCTCGCGTGACAGTATGCAAGTCCAGTCACGGCATTGCTACTGTTCTAGGAGGTCATTGATCGTTCAGTGAAGGAGGAAGTCGTGAAAAATATATTACAGTAGTTTTATTCGTGACAATAATACAAATAAGTTGTAGTAACTATGTGCAGTGTTTTATTGCGTGTTGAACACATTCAAGAGTGTCATTTACCCTTGCAGAATCACTGCAAAATCACGTTATAGTCTCTCTAGTCAAAGTTAAACGGTTCTTATAATCACACAATACAAAATGGTAGTCTCGGTTACAGTGAACGATAAACACACGAACGGCAATGTACACTTTCGATCAACCAAGTGCCCACCCAACGCCAGTGTCAGCGTCTGATTAACCAATTACAAATTCTTTTTTAAACGACTTCTAATCTCAATAATCGAGTCCGTTGCTTGTGTGGTTGAAGTCTGAACACTATGAAGTGTTACCAATATTACTCCAAGATACACTTAAAATAAGAATTGTTTTACCTTCAAAACGTCTTAGTATTCACGCTGTCCTAGCAGTTACTTGTGTCACCCTTGATGATAGAAGTGAATAGTCAGCGCGTATTCTCTAAGTAGGTCACCCTTTGTATTAACACTCGCTCCTTAGGTCACATTGGAGATATGCTGGGTCCTGTTTCATTGTTAACGTTCCGATTGTTTGATCACGAGTGGAGACATGAATGACAATACGTGAGGTCACTGTTGGGTTACCTGAAACATGGTTTACAATTCGATGGTAGAGAGCGTGGGTTGTGTTGTGGAATGTCGAATATAGTATTTCTAGTTTGATACCATGGCAACTGGTCTATCACATAAATATGTTACCAAGTATAAATCTTACAATTGTTTCATTTCATTGCATTGTCTCACCCATCAAATCTGCAAACGATTCCCAGTAGTTTTAACTGGAGGTTACAACGACTGTCGTAAATCATTGGTCGCGTTGGGGTATCGGCTGCTAGTTATTACTACGAATGACGTGGAATAGTGTATACCTCACCATGGTACGTTCCTTTCGTACCGTAACACTGGACTCAGTAGAATTTGTCGATCTCACGATCAAAGATTAGAGCTTGGTGCTCTCTTCAAAAACACACTCACTTTTACATATTAAACTAAAACTTATTTGCTCGCTCACTGGCACCACACAATGTGTTGTCATAAAAAGTCGCATATAAAAAAATGACATGCCGTCAACAGTGTGTTGTTTGAAATGTCCTCTGTATTACAAGCGTTTCCTTTGGCGTAAATTCGATACACCATAGTTTAGAATAGGAAGAAACATCCGGGTATTCTGCAGTCCAGTGTAGTGTTAAGTCACTTGTATAAATCGACTATGTAGGCCATGTTGCCCAGAGTTCATCGCATGTAAATTATATGCAAATATGTATACACTATAGATCCACGTCTCGGCTTAAAAACTTCAATCTTTCTAAAGTCAATCTTACATTAAACCAACACAGTATCAAGTACTCGGCAGCAAAAGGTTGGAATTCACTCCACGAATCAATCAAACATATAACTAACAGACTCAGATTTAAAACGCTATTAAGTGACCATCATTGTAACATGTAATCTAGTGTGTGTTTGCGTTATTTATTTATTTTTAGTATTTATTATTATTGCTTTCGTTGGCGGCGGAATATGTCATATATATTCATCGCTTATTTCAGTTCTGTCAGAACTAGGATATTACATACTTTTGCTTGTCGATTTAGTCATGGCGAACCTGGGAGAGATCATACCTCTTATACTAGTATATCATGAATGTTTGTTAATACAATATTACAAATAACTACATAGTTTCAAAATTCAACATATCAACATATAACATGGACTTTCTAGCTACATTGCACTTGGTGGCAATGATTCGCACGAGGCATGAGACGTCACGGTGATATTATCGCCTTTAAGTTCTTCGTAGAGTTCTTGATATTGATTCGTTATTTGTTTTTGAACTCAAATAAAGACTTTTAAGTATTAAGTCGTCTCGTATTAGAGATTATTCGAATCTGTTCAATTTACCCATACCACAATGCGCAATAAAATCACGCTTCTACTGATTTATCCTCGTGCTTTTGTAACCATAGCGACTGCAATTAAAGTATTAGTAGCTATATTGGGTAGACAATAGCCATAATTTTGAGATCCAAACGAAGTCTGCACTTGATAGAAACAAGGTCGGTGTCATATTTGCATGACTTCTAAATTTGATTTCGTTTGATCAGATTTCTCACGAAACCGAGAGTTCGTATCATGCCTACAAGGTCAGTCAGAGGTCACATAGTATGTAGATCATACACAGTAGGAATGCAACTTTAATTAACACTGAGTGTAAAATTAAAATTAAAACGTCACAATGAGCCTATGACTGAATACCTTGTAGATGTAGATCTGTGTACTACTAGAAATGTTTTAACTATGAATGAGATACAACTACATGAACACACAGGTAATGATATGCAGTGCAATAGTTTTACGAGTGAAATAGCGCCAGCAATGTATCCGACATAGTAATCAATGAGTCACTATGACAACATTCTAGGCTGTGTGGACAAACACTTGAGTTGTAAATTTCAAAGAAACTTTACCACTAGAGACTAAATATAAAAACAATCTGGTACTACGAATACCAAGCTATATTATAGAATATATGGTTATTTGGGTCAGAATGGGGGGGGGGGTAGACTTCAAAATATTATTCTACTTGAGAGAATATGCTCGTATATCACCATTGTAATCGAGTAACCATGGAGACAATAGATTCAATGTTAGTTTATTGCAGGAGTGCACAGTTGAACTCAAAGTTCAAAGCTTGATCTCTACTGCGCCATTGATTGGTGTGTTTAAATATTGTTAAACTCCGAAAGTTGGTCGGCAGCTAAATTAACTTATACTGGTATTTACAACAATGAAACCTTCCAAAACAACATAATTTATGTTTACACACATTTCCAGTCATAATTTCTTGACATAGTCGATGAGATTTGTAAAAATAATCATATTTCAAATGTTTGCTTACAGTTCCACAGTATCGCATAATATCGTTTTGTAACCATAGCGACTACAATTAAAGAAGGTACATTGGATAGACAGTAAACAACATTTTTGGGACAAACAATTCTAATATTTTTGCATAAATCAATCCATGGCTGAGGGGAGTACGGGAGTACGCTGTAGACTCAGTAAATAGATAGATAGATAGATAGATATTCCCTACTATATATCCTGTGACAGACGAAGCGTAATTCGAGATGACGCAAGCACGCCACCAACGCCAATTGTCAGTAGATGGTTGTAGAATAGGAATTAATGAAAATAAAATAAATATTACTTTTAATCTTTACTCCAATCATTAACTATCTCAGGTGAATATAAATATTCGTATAATATAAATATTCTCCAGCAATACTCATAATACGTGACAAAATAGATTATGAACTCACTTTACCATAAAATGTGCATCTCGTTTTGAATAATTTTGAACAAATAATTTTGCTAAGAGCACTGAAAACGTCTGTGCAACAAATTCACGTCAATGTATTCAAGAGTGGCCTACTTGTTTTCTCTTTTTTTTGGTCTTATTTTCGTGGCCACTTCCTGTTTTTACATTTCCTTGGTTTCCACGTCACTTACTTCGTTGTATAATCAGCTGTGTAAATGCTAAATTGTGAGTAATATAACATATTTTACAAAATTATTAAATTCTTCAAAAATTGGTATCACGCGGCACTAAGTCCCCGTTTTTTTTTGCACAGACATCCGAAAAAAAATCATTCAAAACAGCGCCCCCACAGGGGTAAATAAGTTAATGCACGCGTTTTTTTTACACACACGAAATTTTCATTCGACCTCACACCCGCCATTTTTAAAAACACACACGTCATTTTTAAACACACACGTCATTTTTTAACACACACGTCGTGTTTAAACACACGCAATTTTTAAAAACACACACGTCATTTTTAAACACACACGTCGTTTTTAAACACACGCCATTTTTGAAACACACACGTCGTTTTTAAACACACACGTCATTTTTAAACACACACGTAATTTTTAAACACACACCATTTTTAAAAACACACACGTCATTTTTAAAACACACGTTTTTTAAAACACCCACGCCATTTAATATACACACATGATTTTTTAAAGCACATACCATTAAAACGCACAGTCATGCCGTTTTTTTAAAATGCACACATCATTTTAAAACACACACGCCACGGCCTCCAATACGTACATAATTTTGAATTATTAGTACATTTTCTTCCTGTATACACAAAATAATAAATTTACATTCCGCACCTCGTATATTGCCGCATAACGGCAAACTGAACTTTTGCCGGTGAATTGCGGTTTGCTGAATTGTTACTGGGAAGATAATTTAATGACTACAAAACGCCTTGCAGCGAACGAGGATGAACTTATATGGCGGACTTGATGACGTATCAGGCAAAATTAATGTGACACTGAACTCCGTCGTCTCG